GCTCTCTCTGCACTGAGAAGTTTCTTTTGTAGTTCGCTGCCCACCAGCCCGGCCGACACGGCCTCGTCCACCGACAGCTTCTGGTTGTTGACTGGGTCAATGATGAACCCCGTGGCCGCCTGTGCCTCCAGCAGCACCAGGGCCGTGCCCTGCCTCAGGATGCCCTTCCACATGGCCTGGTAGATGCTCATCTTCTCCACCTTGCTGGGGTCGGCCTTGGAGGGCACCAGCACGCCGGCGATGCTTCCGGTTCCCTCGAGGTATCTCCTCACACTGTCCATCTGTGCTATTTCCTGAGCCGTCTCTTTTCCTTCGTGGAGTTTTTCTATGGTTTCCTCTGTAATTATCTGTGCACTGAGCAGTTCTGACGCCGTTATTTGTTGTCGGATTCCCTGGAACCAGACATCACTTCTGTCCTCCTCTTTTTCCCTGATGATCTTTAGTATTATCTCAATGATTCCCTGCAGTATGTGTTGAGATTCTGCTTTGTATTTTTTCAGCAGCTCTTTCCTTTTCTCCTCCGTGATGTACTCGGAGCAGAGGAGTTCCCACAGAGATAACACTTGTCCCTTGTACTTCCCCACGGGCACTTGGACCATTGTACACAGCAGGGTGTTCTTCGTTTGCTCGTCGACGTAGAAATAGTCGTCCTGCTTTTCCAGGACCTGCAGCAGGAACAAGCCGCTCTCCCTGTCCTTGGCACACCTCTGCAGGAGCTGACTGTAGCTGATCTTCTCGCGAGTGTTTGGGTCTATGAAGCCTTTGCTGCCGTGGTCCGGGTCCGAGAGCAGGAGGAACGTGTCCTCGTCCAGGTGCCCACGCCGATAGGCCACGTCCAGGGGCAGGCGGTGGCCGTGAGCGGGGTCGACGATGCCGCCGGTGGCGAGCTGGGCCTCGAGCAGGCGGATGCCGTGGTCCCTGACTGTTCTCTTCTGCCTCACGGCCTGGAAGAGGGATATTTTATCTCCCGTTTGAGGATCCGTGTGTCCCGTCACGGCTTTCTCTGCCAGCAGCAGCGGCTCGTGCAGTTCGCTGCCCACCAGCCCAGATGCCACGGCCTCGTCCACTGAGAGCTTCTGGTTGCTCAGGGGGTTGATGAGGAAGCCGGTGGCCGCCTGCGCCTCCAGCAGCCCCAGCGCACACTGCTCTGTGAGGAGGCCCTTCTTCAGCGCCTGGTAGATGCTCATCTTCTCCTTCCTGGGTGGGAGAAGAACCCCGGCGATGCTCCCGGTGCCGTCCAGGTACCTTTGGATGCTGTCCCTCTTTGTGAGGGCAGCAAGTGTGAGACTCCCATCGTGCAGCTGGTCCAGGGTTTTCTTGTCGATTATCTCGGAGTTGAACAGTTCTGACACCGACACCTCCCCCCGCAGTCCTTTGACCTTGAGGGCTTCTGCTCTTTGCTCCGTGTCCTCGATGATTTTTAAGATGAGGGATATCAGATTTTCCAGTGTCAGGGTTTTGCTTTTGTACTGCATCACCAGCTCTTTCCTTTTCTGCTCCGAGATGTAGTGAGAGCAGAGCACTTCCCAGATGGAAACCGTTTGGCCCTTAAACTTTCCAACCTTCACCTGGAGGGGCTTCGAGCGCAAAGCCTGTTTTGTGGACTCGTCGATGTAGAAGTACTTCCCTCCTTCCTTTACAACCTGCAGCATGTACAGCCCAGTCTCGGGGTCTTGGACGCACCTCTCCAGCAGCTGCATGTAGGTCAGGTTCTCGTGGGTGTTGGGGTCGAAGAAGCCCTTGGTGTCGTCAGTGGGGTCGGACAGGATCTGGTTCATCTCCTGGTTGAAGTAGCCCCGTTTGTAGGCCACCTCCACGGGCAGGCGGTGGCTGTGCACGGGGTCGATGATGCCGCCGGTGGCGATCTGGGCCTCGAGCAGGCGGATGCCGTGGCTCTTCACAATCAGCCCCTGGTTCATGGCTTCGAACAGGGACATCGGGGCTTTGGTGTAGGGGTCGGTGTAGCCCGTCACGGCTCTCTCTGCGCAGAGCAGCTTTTCAAAAATCTCCCCTCCGATCAGACCCTCCTTTAACGCTTCCTCCACGGAAAACTTCTGGTTTTTCTCAGGGTCAATGATGTAGCCGGTGGCTGCCTGCGCCTCCAGCAGCACCAGGGCAGTCCCTGGCCTCAGGATGCCTTTCCACATGGCCTGGTAGATGCTCATCTTCTCGTTGCTTGGCTGTATGAGGACCCCTGCTATGAAATTGCTGCCCTCCAGGTACCTGCGGACAGACTCCATCTCAGTGACTTCTTTGACCGTTTTCTTCCCCTGGTTGAGCTCATCGAGGGTCTTTTTGTCTATGAGTTGGGACTGGAAGAGGTCACTGGCAGATACTCTTTTCCGCAGGCCCTGGAATGCAAACTTCTTGCCTTGTGCCTCCGTCTCTTGGACGATCGTGGTGATAATCGTTGTGATCTCCTGCAGCACTTCAGCCTTCTCATCTTTGTACTTCTGCACCAGCTCCCTCCTCTTGCTGTCTGAGAAGTATTCGGAGTTGAGGAGGTCCCAGACAGACACTGTCTGTCCCTTGAACCGCCCCACGTTGACGCAGACAGTCACAGATTTCAGCACTTCCATGGTCTGCTCATCCACGCAGAACATGGAGTTTTCCGACAGCGGGAGGAGCCACAGCCCCGACTCGGGCTCGCGGATGCACCGCTCCTTCAGCTGCTGGTAGGTCACGTTCTCCTTGGTGTTGGGATCAAAGAAGACCTTGGTGCTGTCGTTCAGCTGAGACAGGGTTTGGTTCATGCCCTCGTCGTAGAAGCCGTGCCTGCACGCGGCCTGGAGCGGCAGGTGGAGGTGGTGGATGGGATCGACGACCCCTCCCGTGGCCAGCTGGGCCTCCAGCAAGGGAACAGCCTCTGCCAGGGGGATCAGCTCCTTCCTGAGCGCTTGGCACAGGGAGATGGAGCTCCCCGTGTAGGGATCCGTGTACCCCGTCACGGCCCGCTCGGCGAGGAGGAGTTTCTCGGTGAGCTCTTCGCCCACGACAGCCGCTCTCACAGCGTCCCTCACGCTGAGCCTCCGGCTCGTTGCAGGGTCAGTCAGGTATCCTGTGGCTGCCTGAGCCTCGAGCAGCCTCAGAGCAGCCCCAGGGAGGAGGAGGTTGTTTTTCATGGCATCGTAGAAGCTCATCTTCTGTTTGGACGCCTCTATGAAGACGCCGGCGATGCTGCCCGTGCCCTGCAAGTACCTCTTCACGCTCTCCATCGCAGCCACTTCCTCGGGACTTCTTATGCCCTGAGCCAGTTCTTCAAACGTCTTCTCAGAAATGATGCCAGTGTCCAGCAGCCAGACCACGGGGACACTGCCCCGCAGGCCCTCCAGGGAGATCTGGGTCCGGGCCTTCATCTCCATGTCCCCCACGAGCCTGAGCACAAGAGCCACCAGCTGCTGCAGCGACAGCTCCTCGGAGCGGAACCTCTCCACGAAGTCGCTCCTCTGCTCCTCAGTGAAATACCCCGAGTGGATGAGCTCCCAGAGGGAAACCCCTTTCTCCTTCACCGTGGTTTCCTTGAAAATCCGTTGGATTTGCTCATCAGTGTAGGCAGGAGCAGCTGCCTGGGGCAGAGGCAGCAGGTGGAAGCCGGAGACGTCGTCCTTCTGGCAGTGCTGGATTAGCTCAGCGTAGGTCACGGACTCTTTGCTGTCCGGGAGGCAGAAGGCTCTGTGCTCGTCACTGGGCTTGGAAAGGGCCTTGCTCGTGTCCTCATCCAGGCACCCTCGCTGCTGGGCCGACTCCAGGGGGATGTGGTGGCCACACGCTGGGTCAATGATGCCTCCTGTGGCCATCTGCACCTCCATGAGCTGCATGGCCTGTTTGTCCGTGATCAGGCCCTTCTTCATTGCCTGGAAAAGGGGGATCTTCTTGCCCGTGAAAGGGTCTTTGTAGCCCGTCACGGCCCCCTCCGCGTGCTGCAGCTTCTCGTGGACGTCCGGGCCGATGACTCCCTCCCTGACAGCCTCGTCCACACGGAGCTTCTGGTTGTTCACGGGGTCGATGATGAAGCCCGTGGCAGCCTGGGCCTCCAGCAGGGGCAGGGCTACTCCTGGCACCACAATGTTCTGCTTCATGGCCTCGTAAATGCTCATCCTCTGGTTCGATGGCTGGAGCACGATCCCCCCGATGCTGCCCGAGCCATAGAGGTACTTCCTGACAGAGTCCATGTGCAGGACCTGCTCCGGCGTGACGGATCCCTCAAGCACCTTCTCGAGCAGGGCCCTGTCGATGACGCCCGTTTCCATCAGGTGGTAAGCGCTGACGCTGCCTCGCATGGCCGGGAACTTGATGGGGGCCCACTTCTTCATTTCCTCCTCCAGCAGGAGTCGGATTTGCTCCAGGCTGAGCTTCCTCAGCTGGAAGTGGTTGAAAATCTCCCGGCGCCTCCCCTCGCTGAAGTACTCGGAGTTCAGCAGGTCCCACACAGAGACCCTCTCCCCCCGTAGGCGCCCGAACCTGACGGGCAGCCAGGAGCTCCTGAACACCTGCCTGGTGGCCTCGTCGATGAACTGGCGCTTCCTGCTGTTCAGAGGGAGGAGGCAGAGCCCGGTGGAGGGCTCGGTGATGCACTTCTCCTTCAGCTGCAGGTAGGTCAGGTTCTCATGGGTGTTGGGGTCGAAGAAGCCCTTGGTGTCGTCGCTGGGGTCGGAGAGGATTAAATTCATCTTCTTGTCGAAGTAGCCGCGTTTGTAGGCCACCTCCACGGGGATGCGGTGGCTGTGCACGGGGTCGATGATGCCGCCGGTGGCGACCTGGGCCTCGAGCAGGCGGATGCCGTGGTCCCTGACGATCAGCTCCTTCTGCATGGCCTGGAAGAGGGAGATCTTGCTCCCTGAGTAGGGGTCTCTGTAGCCGGTGACTGATTTCTCCGCAGCCAGCAGCTTGTCGTAAACGTCCGGGCCGATGACGTTCGCTCGCAAGGCCTCGTCCACGGAATACCTTTTGTTGGCCGTGGGGTCGATGACAAACCCCGTGGCAGCCTGTGCCTCCAGGAGGATCAGAGACGTCCCTGGCCTCAGAAGTCCTTTCCTCTTTGCCTGGTAGATGCTGATCTTCTCCTGGGAGTCGGGGAGCAGCAGCCCAGCGATGCTCCCCGTGCCCTGCAGGTACTTCCTGACTGTGTCCATGCCCACGACTTCTTTGGCTGACGTTTCACCCTCCTTGAGTTTCTTAAACAGGTCTTTGTTGATAATTTCTGAGCTCAGGAGCTGGTCGGCCGTCACCTGGTCCCTCAGGCCCTCGAAGGTGACGTTGGCAGTGGCAGCCGTTTCCTCGACGGCAGCTCTGACGGCCTCGCCCAGCCCTTGCGTGGAGAGAGCTCCCGACAGGAACCGCTGGGCGAGAGCAGCTCTTCGCTCGCCCGGGACGTGGTCAGAGAAGAGGAGTTTCCAGAGGGACACCGACTTGCCCTTGAACTTCCCTACAGAAATGGGCACCCGCGTGTTTTCCAGAGCCATTTGGGCCCTGTGGTCAAAGAAAAGGGGGGTTCCCTGGGATCCTTCACCGCCGTCCCCACCAAGTGGCAGCAGCAGGAGCCCCGTGCCGGGGTCGGTGACGCAGCGCTGGAGCAGCTCCGAATAACTCAGCTTTTCCTTGGAGCTGGGGTCAAAGAACCCTTTCATGTGGTCGGGAGGGCTGGAGAGGAGCTGTCTGGTGGGCTCATCCAGGTACCCCCACTCGCAGGCTGTCTCCGTGGGGACACGGAGGTGCCTGCCTGGGGCAATCACACCCCCCGTGGCCATCTGAGCCTCCAGAAGGCAGAGGCCGTGGTCCCTGGGGACAAATCCCTTCCTGACGGCTTCGAACAGGGAGAGCATCTCCCCAGTGGAGGGGTCTCTGTATCCAGTGATGGTTTTCTCAGCTGAAGACAGTTTCTCATGAAGCTCTGGGCCGATAAAACCGACCCTGACAGCCTCATCCACTGAGTAGGTTTTGTTCTTCAGGGGGTCTGTCAGGCTGCCGGTGGAGGCCTGGACTTGCAGGAGCATCAGAGCAGCACCGGGCACAAGGAGATGCTCTCTCAGTGCCTGGTAAAGGCTCCTCTGCTCCCCAGAAGGCAGGACAACCCCGGCCACACTCCTTGTCCCACGCAGGAACTGCTGGACGACGTCGTTCTCTGCCAGCTCCTGAGCAGAGACTGTTCCCTCCTCGAGGCCTCGGAACACGTCGTGGCTGATGATGCCGGAGTCCCGCAGGTCCCTGCTGCTCACCCTCCCTCCCAGCCCCGGGAATGTGATTTGCAGGGGCAGGAGGAGGAAACCCGAGGCCGGATCCACGACACACCTCTTCCTAAGCTCCGAGTAGGTGACCTTCTCTGTAGTGCTGGGATCGAGGAACCCTCTGCTGTCCTCGTGGCTGGGGTCAGAGAGGTGCCGGCTCATCTCTTCGTCCAGATATCCCCTCTCACAGGCCACATCCGCGGGCAGGCGAGCGCCGGTGGCCGGGTCGATGACGCCCCCGGTTGCCATCTGTGCCTGGAGCAGCCGCGTGCCCTGCTCCCTCCCCACCAGCTCCTTCTGCATCGCCTGGTACAGGGGGATTTTCTCTTCTGTGTAGGGGTCCAGGAAGCCAGTGGCCGCTCTCTCTGCTGCCAGCAGCCTCTCCTTCAGCTCCAGCCCCACCAGCCCCAGGCGCACGGCATCTGCCACCGAGACGCGCCGGCGCGTCACCGGGTCGGCGACGGAGCCCGTGGCTGCCTGGGCCTCCAGGAGGCTGAGGGCCGGATCCAGGCCCAGGAGGTGCTCTCTGGTGGCCTCATAAAAGCTCATTATCTTCTTTGAAGCCTCTACATACACGCCAGCGATGCTGCCAGCTGCCTCCGAGGGCTCCCCGGGAGCATCTGGCCCCGCCGTGTCCCCGCCGGCTGCTCTCGGCTGTTTGTGCGGCATCGCCTCCTGGCACAAGCGGCTTTTCCCTGGCGTGTCTTCCCCGGGAAAGCTGGGGACAGCGTGGCCATTCACTGCTGGCTTGCTCTCCATCCTCCCGCTGCAGGCCTTCCACAGGACTCTGGAGAGAGGGGGGAGAGCGGGAAGCGTCAGTGAGAAACCAACTTTCCTTGTGCTTTGCATGTCAAATACAGGGAAATCGGAAGGATAAACACCCCCCCAGGCAGGAGGAAGCGACAGCCAAAGGCTGAGCACGTCTGAACCTGATGTGCCATCCCAAGGGGTCTGGCCAAGCTCAAAGGGTTGGTGGAGGAGAAGCTCCACGTGCCCCAGCCGTGTGCACTGGAACCAGAAACCCCCCTTTTCCTGGGCTGATCCCACAGTGTGGGCAGCAGGGGAGGGGGGATTCTGCCCCTCTGCCCCACTGAGATGAGACCCCACCTGCAGAGCTGCCTCCAGCCCTGGGGCCCCAACATGAGAAGGGTGTGGAGCTGCTGGAGAGAGTCCAGAGGAGGCCCTGGAGCTGCTCCCAGGGCTGGAGCCCCTCTGCTCTGGAGCCAGGCTGGGAGAGCTGGGGGGTTCACCTGGAGAAGAGAAGGACCCAGGGAGACCTGAGAGCCCCTGGCAGGGCCTAAAGGGGCTCCAGGAGAGCTGGAGAGGGACTGGGGACAAGGGATGGAGGGACAGGATAAGGGGGAATGGCTTCCCCCTGCCCGAGGGCAGGGATAGATGGGATATTGGGAAGGAATTCTTTCCTGGGAGGGTGGGGAGGCCCTGGCACAGGAGAAGTTGTGGCTGCCCCATCCCTGGAAGTGTCCAAGGCCAGGTTGGATGGGACTTGGAGCAACCTGGTCTAGTGGAAGGTGTCCCTGCCCATGACAGGATGGGACTGGATGGGCTTTAAGGTCCCTTCCCACCCAAACCGTTCCATGATTCAGTGATTCCAGGAGTCCCGACATGCAGGTCCATGTGCTCCCACCGTGGTTGCCCCATGAACCCGCCTCTCCTTCTGCTGTCCCTCCTTCCCACACTCCCCAGGCCATGCAAGGAGGGCAGAGGCTCCACCTCAGTGAGCAGCAGACACCAGGCAAAGAGTCTCCGGGGCTGCCTCAGGGTGAGGCAACATCTAATCCAAACCTGCCCCCCCGTTTGCAAAGCCCCGGGACAGGCTGGGATCTGCCCCGGTGCAGTGAGGGTGGTGCTGCAGGGAGCAGAGGCCGTGGGGCTGGGCTGTGGTGCTGGGTCATGGTGCTGGGTCATGGTGCTGGGCTGTGGTGCTGGGTCGTGGTGCTGGGCTGTGGTGCTGGGCTGTGGTGCTGGATTCTGGTGCTGGGCCGTGGTGCTGAGCTGTGGTGCTGGGCTGTGGTGCTGGGTCATGGTGCTGGGTCATGGTGCTGGGCTGTGGTGCTGGGTCATGGTGCTGAGCTGTGGTGCTGGGCTGTGGTGCTGGGCTGTGGTGCTGAGTTGTGGTGCCGGATTCTGGTGCTGGGTCATGGTGCTGAGCTTGGTGTTGGACTGTGTTCCTGGGCTATGGTGCTAAGCTGTGGTGCTGGGTCATGGTGCTGGGCTGTGGTGCTGGGCTGTGGTGCTGGACTGTGGTGCTGGACTGTGGTGCTGAGCTGTGGTGCCGGATTCTGGTGCTGGGCTGTGGTGGTGAGCTGTGGTGCTGGGCCGTGGTTCTGGGCTGTGGTGCTGAGCTGTGGTGCCGGATTCTGGTGCTGGGTCATGGTGCTGGGTCATGGTGCTGAGCTGTGGTGCTGGGCCGTGGTGCTGGGCTGTGGTGCTGAGCTGTGGTGCCGGATTCTGGTGCTGAGCTGTGGTGCTGGGCCGTGGTTCTGGGCTGTGGTGCTGGGTTATGGTGCTGGGCTGTGGTGCTGGGTTATGGTGCTGAGCTGTGGTGCTGGGCTGTGGTGCTGGGCTGTGGTGCTGGGTTATGGTGCTGAGCTGTGGTGCTGGGCTGTGTTCCTGGGCTGTGGTGCTGGGCTGTGGTGCTGAGCTGTGGTGCTGGGCCGTGGTTCTGGGCTGTGCACACCGGCAGCTCTGAGGGCACTCGCGGCCCATCCCGGGCGTGCCGAGCCCTGGGATCTGTGGTCAGCCTCGGCCTCCGGGCTGTGGCTGCGGCACTCGGTGCGGGAGGAGCCTCCCTGCCCGCAGCCTCCCACGAACGGCGCCTGTGCCAGCACCCACCGGGCCCGGGCGGGAGGCTGTGGGGTCGGAGCGTGTTTGAGGAGCGAGGGGAAAGGTCCTGCTGCGCTGGGGCAGCACCGATGGTTCATTCCCTCCTGAGTGCTGTCCCCTAGGGCAGAACCACAGCACCAGTGCCAGGCTGGAGCGGCCCTACAGGGGCAGGGGAGGCCACGGGCCGAGCACAGAGAGCTGCAGGAGATGGAGGAGACCCACTCGCCCCAGCTCTTGCAGCCGAGTCCACCGGCACTTCTGGGCCCGGCTGCGAGGACACGGCCAGGGCAGGGCTGTCCCAGGGCATTCGCTGCACAGAGCCCCAGGGGGAGCCGGTGTCACACTGACCCTCCCGCAGAGGTCACACTGAGTGGGGACGGTGCGGACCAGCTGTATCTCACTGTCCGGAGCTCACAGACCCACGTCCTCCCCGGCTCCACCACTGTAAACACCAGGGAGCGAAGAGCAATGACGGCGCCGGCGGGGGCTGTGCCCGGGTCCCTGCTCGCCCCAGGACCAGCCTCTCCAACGGGGCTCGGTGCGCCCGGCTCCCTCCCCGGGTGTCTCTCCAGCTCATCCCATGCCCTCCGGCCACGCCAGCACCTTTTCCTCGCGAGGGCTCCTCTGTCCCAGCCGCGCTCTGGGCTCGCTGCCCGGCTCGGGGAAAGGTCCCAACAGGAGCCGGCTCCCTCCGCCCGGTGATGTCAGCGCGGCTCGGATCTGCCCGGGCAATGCCGTTTGTGTTTGCAGGATCAGGATCGCGCCCGGCTCCGGCGCCAGGAGGTGGGGACGGCGGCCGGGAGGCCCCGGGGCTGCGCCTGCCTCCGGGAAGGACGGGGACAGAGGGGAGGACTCGGGGGTCTCTCCCTGGTGGGGAAGGGGAGGATCCTGTGGGGCGGGAGAGGGGCCCAGCTGCTGGCCGAGAGCCAGAGGAGCCGCTCTGTCCTGCGCTCTGGGGTGGGAGCGAGGGAGTTCCCCCACCCCGCAGGGCCGCCCCCTCTGTCCCTCCTCTGTCTGCACACACCCACACGCGCCAGTGACGGCCAGCCCTGTGCCACACACCCCCAAAACACACGTCGGGCTGGCAGCACCTCGGCACCGGCTCTGCCCGCCCTGGTCCTGGGGCCGGAACGCTGGTCCCCACAACCCTTTCCGGACAGACAGGTGCCGGGTTGGATGGCACAGGCTGTGCTGCGCTTGGGAGGAGCTGGGCTCAGCCCTGCCATGCCGTGGGCACAGCGGTGGGCAGCAGTGGAGAGGCTCCGGTATCTGGAGAGCCCCAGGCAGGTCCCCACATGTCCCAGAGCCAAGCTGGCGACTGGCACTGCAGTGCAGACGGAATTTGGGCACTGCCGCCCATAACTGTGGCAGCTTGAGAACCCAACTGCCGTCGGGGCTGGGGGCCCGAGGATCGAGGTGTTGCCCCCACCCTGCCCGGGCAGGGAGAGGCGGTGGGTGCGCGGCGGGGGAAGGACTCTGCTCCCTTTCGTCAGAAGGCGTCAGCCCCACGGAAACTTTGAGTAACCGACTCTGCCTGCGACGGCACGGAGATTCCTGGCAGAGGTGTTGGCACCTGCCGCCCTCCCCGGGGCCACGGTCTCTCCCCGACGCGGGCACCTCTCCCTGGCATCCGCAACCGCTGCTCCGCGGCTTTCGCTCCCGGCAGCGCCGGGGAACGCGCCGGCACCGGTGTGAGTCCCGGCCCCCGCGCACCCACCGCCGGCCCCCGCCGGCCCTGTGCACCCACCGCCACCCGCGTCCCTCCCCGGCCCTGTGCACCCACCGCCACCCGCGTCCCTCCCCGGCCCTGTGCACCCACCGCCACCCGCGTCCCTCCCCAGGGTCCCCGGCCCTGTGCACCCACCGCCACCCGCGTCCCTCCCCAGGGCCCCCGGCAGCGCCGCTGCCCCGCGTCCCGCGTCCCCACCCGCACCCCCGCACCCGGCTGGGCAGGGAGAGGCTGCCGGGGGCCCTGGGCAGGGACCGGGAAAAGGGACAGGTTTTACTGGCAGAGGGGACTCGGTGTCAGGGAGAGGGTGGCGGAGGAGGAGTCTGAGGGGCAGGGACAGCAGAGCGCTGGGAGGGGCTGGGAGTGGGGGTGGGAGCTGGCGGGGCCGGGGGAGTCTGTGGGGTGGTCTCCGGGGGGACAGGCGGAGGCCGGGGGTGTTTCAGGGGAGGGAGAGCGGCAGAGAAGTTTTCTGGGGCAGTGACAAAGGGTGATGGAGACAGGGAGTGTAGCTGGGGCACTCTGGGGGGCCCTGCTCTCAGCGGGCTGGGGGTAGCCCAGCACCCCTTCCCGGGCAGCGCTGCCTGCCCGGCTGCCCCGGCTCAGGGGCCACAGTTTCGGGGTCCCCCAATGGCCAGGGACAGACAGGCTCCTGCCCGGTGCCAGGAGCGGGGCTGCAGTGGGATGGGGTCACATCCCGCCCACAGGGACAACTCCATGCACCGTGCACCCACCTCACCGGGGACTGTGGAACGGTGCTGCCAGTCCCCGCCTGCCCCGACCCACCACCTGCCCCTTCCTCGGCACCCGCCAAACCCCTCTATGCCATGGGAACCCCGAGGCATCCCGGGCTTTTCCCGGGAGCCGTCCTGTTCGGGCAGCCAACACCTCCTGCCCCGCTCCTGGGAAGTGCCGGGGTCAGGAACCACCACCCTCCGGCTGTGCCCCAGGAGGGGTGGCAGTGCCCAGGGTGCCACAGCACCGAGCGGCTGCTGCCCTAAGCCCACGGTCCCGCCCCGGCTCCCGGCTCAGCCCCGCCAGACCGGCGGGCGGGCGGGAGCGGTGCCGCATTCCGCACATACCGGGGACCGGGCGAGGGCCTCCGTCCCCTGCTGCCCCCCGGCACGGCCCGCAGCGCCCAGCCAGGCCCCTCTCCACCCGACCGCTCCCACCTGCGCGCGGTGATGGCAGAACGGGCTCACCTGGCAGGTGCCCGCGGTCCCGCTGCTTCGCCGCTGCTTCCTGCCCGGGACCGGAGCACGCTTAAAACCTTGCCCTTCCCCGCCCCTGGGGATGACACACCGGCCCAGCCCTGCCAGAAACTCGCGGGCCAGCCCTCCCCACGGCTCCCTCGGGGTGCTGGAGTCCCCCCTCGCAGGGGTTCACCCATCCCAAAACGGCTGCGGTGTGGGAGGTGACCCTGTCCTGTGGGCTGTGCCCTCTGCAGAGGATTGAGAGCAAGGGACAGAGACCTCCCTCCCCGGGGCCAGCGCTGCCCTCGTCCCCAGCAGCCCCTCATCCTTCTCCCCACCACACCCCAAACCCTCCCCTCCACCAGTAGTGCCCCTGCACCTTGTCCTGGCGGCCGGACCCTGGGCTGCAGCTGCAGGGCTGACAGACCCCACTGCGGGCCCGACCCCACCACCACGGGGGCTGGGGTGGAGAGGGGGACCCTTCCCTGCTCCCCCCAGCCTTGTCCACACCCCTGGATGTGTACGTGCGGCCTGAATCGCCCAAAACATGCCCAAACCATCTCGTTGCCACCTGAGTCACCCAAACACCCCTGCCCTGCCCCTGTCGCCAGCCCCACGCCCTCTCCCCCGACCCTGCTCGCAGGTCCACACCCCCCTCCTGCTCCCCCCGAGCACCCCCTCCCTCTCCCTGCTGCCACCGGGGCTCAGTGGGGCCCAAAAGAGCACCAGGCACCTGGGGGGGGGGGTTTGGGCCCACCAGGGCAGGGGGGTCACTCCGCAGCCCCTCCAGTGCCACCCTGCAGGGTGAGGTGCCGCGGGAGGGATGCGGCACTTGGGCAAGATGTTTGTGGTGTGTGGGAGTGTGTTGCCTGGAGAGGTGCCGGTATCCAGGCACGGGCCTGGCCGGGCGAGCCCGTGGTGTGGCACCAAGCCCTGGTACCCACGGTGGGTGCAGCCAGCCCCAGCAGTGGTGGCTCCCCCCCTGTGGAGGAGCATTCCCATGGGAATGGCACTGCCAAACACCCGGACAAGAACCCCCTTCTGCGCCTGTTGCTCCAGCAGTGCTGAGCCAGCGCTCCAGGAGGGCAGAGGGACCCTCAGGAGGGTCACCCAGAGCAGTGGGGCCAAGACAGGGGCTGGCCTGCACCATGTCCCAGACTCATGGGGCGATGTCCAAACAGGGGCAGCACCAGTGAGAGGGGCAGGGGCTGCATCTGCCGCTGTGCCCATCCCAGCCCCTGCAGCCCAGAAACCAACGAGGTTTCCGACGGCTTCCCAGGCATCGGGAGAGGTGTCGCCCCCAGGAGCTGCCAAGGAGCCTTAATCCATCAGCAAACAGGGATAAGTGTTTGTCAGCACCGCAGAGGGCTGGGCGCCGGCACAATGGAGCGGTGCTGGCACTGTGGAGCTTCCCACTGCCGAGGCTCCAAGGTGTCAACCCCCTCACCCTCTGATGGGGTGGGGGCCAGCAAAGCCTCCCTGCAGCCTCCCCGGGACCCTGTGACCCGCTCTGGGAGACAGGACAGCCCCGGGGCTGCAGCAGGACCAGGCACGGGCAAGGCCAATGGGGCATCACCACCCTACTGGGCTGCAGGGACAGGCAAGGACGGGACCTCGGGTCCCTGTCTGGGCAGCAAGCAACCAGTGCACTGTGCTGGGCCATACTGGGCTGTGCTGGGCCATACTGAGCTGTGCTGGGCTGTGCTGGGCCATGGTGGGCATTCCTGCACCTTGCTGGGCAATACTGGGCTATAATGAGCCATGCTGGGCTGTGCTGGGCTGAACTGGGCCATCCCGGACCATACTGGGCTGAACTGGACTGTGCTGGACCATACCGGGCCATGCTGAGCTGTACTGGGCCGTACTGGGCCATACTGGGCCGTGCTGGGCTGTGCTGAGCCCTCCTGCCAGCACGGAGTGGCTGCTGCTGCCCGGGGCGGCGGGAAGGGGCCCTGGTGGTAAATGAGCCGTGAGGAGCAGCTGCGATTCCAGCGGATCCACCGAACACGCGCGGCTTCTTCAAAGCTCCTCGGCTGCCGAGGACCGGCCTGGGCACCTCTCCCCTGCCCTGGGCACCTCTCCCCTGCCCGTGGGCAGCCTGGGCACCTCTCCCCTGCCCTGGGCACCTCTCCCCTGCCCGTGGGCAGCCTGGGCACCTCTCCCCTGCCCTGGGCACCTCTCCCCTGCCCGTGGGCAGCCCGTGGGCAGCCTGGGCACCTCTCCCCTGCCCTGGGCACCTCTCCCCTGCCCGTGGGCAGCCTGGGCACCTCTTGGCCCTGGGCACCTCCCCTGCCCAGCCTGGGCACCTCTCCCCTGCCCTGGGCACCTCTCCCCTGGAGTGGGCAGCCTGGGCACCTCTCCCCTGCCCTGGGCACCTCTCCCCTGCCCGTGGGCGGCCGCGGCTCCCGGAGCCTCGGTGACACCCCTGCAGTGCCGCTGCGGAGCCACAGCCCCGCGGGGATGTTGGTCCCGGGGAAGGGGGAGCCCGGAGGTGCTGGGCTGTGGTCACTCAGTGCCGGACGAGCCGTCCACAGAGGGGAAGCCCCCGTTGGTGGGTTGGTGCCCGACCGAGCCGGGTGTCACGGGTGCACTGCCAGAGCTGCCATGCCCAGCCCAATGCCCGGGGGCTGCGGGGAAGGTGCTGGGTCTGAGTGACGGGGCTTAGGCCGAGCTGGCAGAGCCGGTGACGGGTCCTGGCAGTGACCACTCCAACCCCCGCAAACTGTGCTGCCGCTGGCAGGGCTCCCACCCACAGAGACATCCCATCCAAGCCCCCAGTGCTCACCCACACTGCACAGCATCACCGGGCAGCCCGGGCCCCCTGCACCATGTCCGTCTGTCCCAGTCTGGGCCCACAGACAGCCCGAGGGCCAGCAGCACAGGGCACAGCCCCCTGGCTCTGGAGGATCTGGCAGGGGGGCTCAGCACACCTCTGGGGTGGCAGTGGCAGCATGAGGAGGCTGAGCCAGCTTGGGCACAGGACGCCACACTCCCCATCCCTGCGGGCGGACGCTGGGGAAGGGGCGAGGCACAGCGGGAGCGCGGCACAAAGCCGGGGCCGGGGCCAGCGCTGAGCTCAGCGCCGGGAGGGGCCTGCAGGGCTCTGCTGCCCAGGATCGGTGCCCACACTCACAACCTCGAACAGGTGAGAGCGGGTGCTCACGCATAGGCACACGCACATCTGCCGTGCCAGTGGCTCTGCACACTCACACGCGTGTGCCTGGGCACGTGCTGGCCCTGGCCAGAGATCAGAGCCGGGGGTTGGTGCCAACCCGCCTGGGACTGAGGCCTCCAGCCCTGCCAGCCTCCATCGCTACCAAGGCCTCCAGCCCTGCCAGCCTCCATCACCACTGTGCCATCATCTCCTGCCCCACTGGTGTCCCAGCCCTGTGCCCAGACAGTGGCTTTGCACGGGGCAGGGTGGGGGCCCAGAGGGTGGCTCTCACTCCTTCCCCACCCACACCGTATCCAGGCAGGGGCTCAGAGGGCTCCGGGCTGTGGATCCCTCCCTTTCCCATTCCACACCATACCTGGGTACTGGGCAAGGGCTTTGCCCAGGACATGGGTGCAAACTGCAGGTGGGAGCCGGAGCAGCCCAGGGCTCCTGTGCCGGGGCCAGGAAAGCTGGGAGCAGAGTGGTGGGAGTTGGGCTGTGCCCCCCTGGACTGGAGTACCTGTCCTGGCACCGTCTTTCTTCGCACCCCAGAGAGGGGACGGGAGGTGTCTGGGGGGGACACACCTGAGCAGTCTCCCCTTTGCCAGCCCAGCCCCAGGGCACAGTGCTCACCCCATGGCATGGCCGGACCCCATTGCCTGGGATGAAGAACGTGGCTCCAGCCACAGCCAGTGTGGCTGTGTGGGGTGTGTGGGGTGGGACGTGTGGCAGGGCAGGCCCCGCTCCCAGGGTTCCCACAGCCAGGGCGAGCACAGGGGCGGTTGGGCAACAGGGTGGTACCCGCCTCCCGCTCCCTGTGCGGGGGCCACCCAGCTCCACGGGGCACACGGCGGGACACTGCTCTGGCCTGTGAGCGGGGCCACGGGACCCAGCTCAGGGGCTCGGGGCTGAGCACCCAGCCACGACAGTCCCACCCAGGCCCAAGCCACCAGCCTGGCTCCCCACTGCTGCCACCCCCTCACCCGCTGCCCCGGTGACAGGATCCCCCAAACCCGGCACGTGCTGTGGGCCACAGAGGCTCCCCCAGGGCATCCCTGCTCCTGTCTCCCTGTGGATGGTGCAGCCCCCCCGGGACCCCTCGTGCCCTTCCTCGTGCTCCAGGTGGGTGTCTCTGTCCGCTGTGTCACCCCCAGCCCCGGGGGGCTGCACACGCAGGGTCTGGGTCTGTGTAAACACCCTGCAAACACTTTGGTGTGGGCCCGGCCCGCCCGCGCCTGCTGCCTTTGCTTCCCGAGCCAGCACCGTCGCCCGGGGCTCAGGATGTGGCTGACACAGGCTGCGGTGCTGGTGGTGCCGGTGGTGCCGGGCGTGTTGCCCCAGCTGGGAGTGGTGGAAGAGATTTCCACAGGCTCAGGAATGTGCAACGCGACTCGTACCGGCGTTCCAGCCCGTGCCGGCAGCGCCGCGGGACCATCCCGGGACGTGTTGGCGGATGCGCCGTGGAGAGCCGCGGGCTCGGCCCTGTTCCAGGGGGGCTGTGGCAGCGCCGGGCGAGGGGCCCCGATCCGGGGTGTTCATGGGGCTCCCCCGTGCGTGACCGGGGACGTGCCCCAGCACGAACTCACTGGCACAATTCCAGCCTCGGCCCCTTTGGCTCTGTGTTCGTTCAGAAAAGAAGTGAGGGCGGAGAGGGTTTTAGGGTGAAACAGTGGAGAAATGAGACTGGAAGCCATGAGAGCAGGGTCAGGCAACCAAGGGGACCGGGATAGGGAGGGGGCAGCCAGGCAGAGCCCCAGCACTGGTGAAGGACCAGAGGGAACGGCCGCAGCCCCCATTTGTGGGATCTGGGACTCCCCAAGCTGGGGAGGTGCCAGGCAAGGGCTGTGGTGCTGCAGTACCTGGGGACAGTCCCTGTGCTCAAGGTGTCCCCAGCTCTCAGAGC